ATAATCCCATTTAAGAGGACAGTGTTAACATCAATATGGTGTAACTCTAAATCATAATGAGCTACTACTGAGATAATTACTCTAAATGCATCCTTAGAGAATACAAGAGAAAACATTTCAATGTAATCTCTATGCAAAATTCTTGCAAACAAGTTCGACTTTAAACCTCTTAATAGTCCCTTTGGAATCTTTCTTGATTTTGTACACTCATTTGTTTCCAATAAGTTTGCAACCAGCTAAGCACAACAGAAAAAAAAGGATTGCAACCCTCAGTTAGTTCAACAAGCTCCCACATACCAAAGCGTGGCATAAATTGCATCTCATCTCTGATTGCATCCCACCACAAATCTGATTAAAGACAATAGACAATTTCTAAAAAAGTTATTAGATCAACTAGATGACTAATATCATAATCATCCTCTTCAAGAGAGAATTCAAAGATGTCTAAGGAAAGAACAAGTTTTCTTATCCTTATGGGATTTTTTGGCACTTTTTTATTGACATTCTAGTGTTAAGAGATCTTATTAAGTCTTGTTTCTATTCTCCAGAGGTGTATGTGGCACAATTTCCTTTTGTACGGGTATTGGAATATTTATAATCTCAATATGCTCTCCTCCTTTTCTATCTTGTATGCAAATAATATTAACCACATTTAACAAAAAACTTAGCTATTTTTTGTGTCTCAATAATTATACCATATATGATTGATAATTAAATTTATAGCTTATGGAATAATTTGGGTATCAAATAAAGTAAAACAAGTGAAACAATATTGTATCTTAATTTAGTGAGATCATAAAGGCGTGTTTTTGAAAAATGTCTCTAAATATATAAATGATTAAAACTAGATTTTCATTATGTCCACAATTTAAAAGGGGTTTTAGGTATAAATTTGCGAAGGATTCTGTTTAAGATATACAATTTATTTTGATTACTTATCCTCGAAATTCTAGTTAATTGGCTCCTCTTATCACACCCTTAACATCTTTAAGATGCGATTTCATTTTTCAGCCACACCATCTTTTTAGGATTACCCAACATAGTGAATTGAGGCATTATTCCACAACCTTCTTATTTGCATTGAGGTACCATCTTTTTAGGATTACCCAGCATAGTGTATTTGGCAAACAAACTCTTTTGTTGTGTTGTTGTGTCATCTCTACCATAATGCTCATCACTTGTATTAGACCTAACAATCTTAATGGTTTTTCTCAATTATGTTTTAACTTCAATCTTGAAGAAATTGAATTTATCAAGAATTTCAAACTTTTCTTTAATTAATAATAGATAAACATAGCAAGAAAAATTATGAATAGTTGTCACAAAATATTTATCTTTGTAGATAGTGAGGGTACAAGGTCCATTTATGCTAGTGGGAATGAGTTCTAATAAATTAGAAATTGGTTTTGATCCTTTTCTATTTATCTTAGTCAACTTACCTCTACAATAGTCAATGCTTGTCTCTAGGTCATCAAAGATAAGAGTACATAGAATATTATGCTTTATCAACCTTTTTACTCTTAGAGATATGGTAAAGTCTTTATGCCATAATATTAAAGATGTTTCTTTTATGCAATGTCTCTTGGAAACTCTTTCAACATATATGAGGTGGCATAAATCTTAATAGAAGCAAAACACAATCTTTACAATCTATGAGACGAAGAACATTGACCATTATATTTCCAATTAGTAATTATCTTAATACTTGAATTGTTTGTTTCAAAAGTCTAACGTAGAAATAAACATTAAATTATGGTTAAATAACGATATATAGAAAGTGTTTCCAATAAAAGTTTATGGTCAGTGCTCAAATGCTAGTAAACTGTTCCTACTAGCTCTACTTTGGCCTCCTTCTTGTTGCCAACTATAAGCTGAGACTCTTCTTTATTTGACTTCTTTTTGCTTATAAATCCTTGTAAGGTAAAAACAACATGATTAGTTGCATCATTCTCTAGCCACCAAGAATTAGATGGAGCTTTAGTTAAATTAGATTCATGTATAACAAAAGCTAAAGAGTTATCGTTATGTTCATGATTTTGTAGTTAAGTTTTATATTTGAGACAATCTTATTTCTTATGTTCTTGTAAAAAAAATTAAGTTTTTTTATTGAGAACAACTTTGGATCTCTTCTTGACAAATTAACTAGATTCTTTCTTTTATCCTGAGCTTGTTTAAGAGCATTAGATTTAATGGACCATCTTAATGATGTATTTCTTAACTCTTCTTATCCCATCATAACCGATGGAATAAAATCTTTTTAGAAGATTATCAATTTTAGCATTTAATGACAACATACACCTCTTTTTTGAGATTTGAGGCCACTTGATGCAATTAGACACTCCATATACATTATTTAATCATAAATGTATGGAAACTACGCATCAAATTTGATTGAAGAAGGCAAAACAAAATTAAATTTTCAAGTTCTTTTCTGATTTCAAAACTTTCACCGTTGAAGCTTAATTCGAACTTGAAATTTCTTCAATTTTGACCATTTAATGCCATAAAATCAGTCTTTAATGAATTTAACCTTGTTACCTTTTGTTAATTTAAACTAAAATGCATCAATTTAAACAAACTTTAGATAAATTGAAGCCAAATCTGAAGATCCAAGCCCTCAAATATAATATCTAAAAACGACAGTGCCAAATTTGACGAAATAGATAGGTTTTGTCAAGCTTTATGGTCTCATTAACAATCTTAACTCATCAAGAAACAACAATTTCAAAGTAATTTAGCAAAAATTACATAAAATCAAATTGTTCTTAGCTTAAAATTGTTTAAACCTGGGACCCTTAAAGAAATTTAATTTTTCAAACACTATTTTAATCAATTAAACTGATTTAATTTTGAAAAATTTATCACATCATCAATAATAAGTCATCAATTGAGCATGCTTATAGTTTAGTTGTTATGCTTATGCTTATCGATAATATATTTATCATATCATGAATTTTAATGGTGTAACTGCACAAATTCAAAAACCACAAAAGATCTTAACACGCAATCATGATTTATGTAACTAATATAAAATTTTCTAGGATTTTAAATCCTAACCATGATTACTCTGATACCAAATTGTACTTTAGGTATAATACATTATATTTAACTTAAACTTTACCATAATAGAAATTTAGAACATAAAAACATACTTAATTCTTTATCTATAATTTGACAATGGAAACAACACTAGTTTTTTTTTTTTTGGAAATCATCTTATTTAGTGCACTAACATCTTCTTCCTCCTCAATTTACAACTTTCCAACTGGTCTTAATGTTTTCCATAAATAAGAGAGGAGACTTAGCCTTATCTTGATATAATGAATCGTTAATCTCACTCATCATAGGATATGAGATTTCATACACAGACACACATTATTAAGTTCACATATAATACTGAAGTTTAACGCATTTTATTAGATCATATTATGGACTATAATATTATTTTTTTATCAATACTAAATTTACTTAACTTGATTTTGATACAAGGTAAAAAATAAATTAAATAATGTAAGTTGAAATTAAAATTATTCAAGATAATCTAACAATTTATGCTTAATTACGAAGATTTTAGAAACTATTTATTTGGTAATTGCAATACCAATACATTTTTTTTTTCATTCTTTAGCTTAACAATCTTCATCAGTACACTTATGACTTATGAGGTCTACACTGTCCATATACTTCATAAGCAATATGAATAATGTCATTTGAGAAGATTGTCCAATAGATTCAACAGCTAAAGGATTATAGATGGGGCAATAAGATTTTCAATTAAAAGAGGTAAGTGGAAAATGAAACAAGTTGTAGCACACTTGGGTTTTGAGTGAAATATATATCTAGCTAAATTGAGTAATTCATTGTTTAATATTCACCATTGACCTAGGTTTATTGCTGGCCAGCAGATTGGCAATTGAAAGTTCATATATTAAAGGTTACCTTCATTTTTCACCAATCACATGGCTTTCTATAAATTTAAGGATAAATATTAGGGCAAGTTCAAGTTGGGTGGAATATTTAAATGATTGGGGAGTGACTTGATAAGTAGATAGATAAGAATCAAGATGACTTGAAGAAGGAGCCTTTTCCTAGCAATGATAAGGATTTGCAGCTGAATCTTATAGAAGGAGGTGCAATTGCAAACTAGTTTGAAACAAAGGTTTAACTTTTTAACACTTTAATTTCTTTTGACTCCACTGTATATTCTAACGTATTTGATGAAAGAATCTATTTCAGGAGGAAGCGTCTGACCTCCACGATGAATTAATTCTACCATAAAAGACAAATAAAAAGAGAAGCATATTAAGATAAATTGAACTATGTAGATTTGGTATTATTTTCGAAACACCTATTTGGATCCAAAATTGCTGTCTAGAGATTGAATTCCTATTGACACATTTATATATTTAGTTAAAATAAAATTATGTAAAGAATAAGGGATATTAAAAGTTTATAAGGTAAAGGACACAACTATTTATTATGTTCCAAGTATTAAATTACATTCTAGATTCTACATAGCACCTGTAAAGTTGTGTAACGGTTGAATTGGATCATTTAGATTCTATTTCAAAAGTCCCCACTTGTTTAAGATGACTACTATTACACTTATATTTGTTAAGGGAAAGGAACCCTTGAACTAGAACAAGAGATTACAAACATTGAGACTGGGCTGGACTATGGATAGAAAAATACTCAGAAGTTGCCGCTTAGATACTCAATTTTTTTTTTGAATTAGGAAAGGGGATTTGGAACCAGCTCTTTAAAAAAACAAATCATGCATCAATCAATGAGTCAAATACTCAGATGCCTTAGATACTTTACTTTGGTTGCAATTATTTTAAGGGCTCATCCCAAAGTCCAAAAAGGTGGGTTTGTACAAGCATGAATCTAGTTTTGATCCTTCAACTTTATTATAAACCAAATATCATCTGCTTTTAGTTTGTCTTAAGTGAAGGTAGTTCTAGTAGTGACTCTCTGTACCATTCTGTTTTTATCCCAAGCACGGGGCAGGTGATTGAAAGGCGTAACCTGCAGTCAGAAAGGATTAACGGTTTGGACCGCGTTCCATCTCTTGAGATGCAAGTAATTACAAGAACTTCTATTCTTTTCTTGTTTTTTTCTTTTTTCTACTCTTTTCTTGTTGTTTGTGTTACACATGAAATGAATTAAAGATTGCAGCATAGTAAATTATGGAAGATTGACAACAAGGCTATCTTGTTTATCATTAATTATATAAAATAAAATAATATTATAAGGTAAATGTATTTCAATTATCACTTAGGTGGATTCACTATTGTATTAAGCTCATGTGAGAAGCCCCCTTTCTCTTGAGAAGCTCATCTGTTATTGCTGCAATTCTATGTTATTATTGATATTAATCAAATGCAGTAAACAACATAAGTCTGTTCAATAACAATACCGTTTTTTGTTCAAGAACTTTGATTTTGATTTTGCACATTAGTGAGTGGTCCATCTTAACATACACATTGGTTTTAAGCCATTTTACCATGATACTCAGTTGGGGTACCTGGGAATATTGACCTTGTTTCAAGTTTCAACCATGTATACGATCCAAAAATGAACAATTGTCATGAGAAATTGCTGTCTTTGAATCTTGATGAGAATATTCAATATTGTGTGAAACTAGCATGCTAACATTTTGGCTTTGAACTTCTTGATTAAATAGTAGTGTACTCTCTGAACAATTAGAGAAATTAAGAACTCTAGTCCTTGAAAATTGAAGAAAACAACTGAACATAAAAATTTCTCAGGAAAATTACTTGAAAAAGAAAAAGAAGTTGAAAGAACTTTAGCAGAAAAAAAACAGAGAAAATAAAGTCCGGCTCAAAATCTGTTGGATCCAAAAATCACAGATCCAAAAATCACAGATCCAAGCTGTAAAACTTGTATTTATACTTAGCCATAACAAACTTTCCTCATAAATCGGATTAAGGAAGTAAATTTCACTACAATCGAAAGACAGCTTTTACAGAAAAACAGAAAAGAAAAAACCAGAAGAATCCATGGCTGTTGGCCTTTACAACAGACACTAAAAAAAAAAACTAGACTAAAATGACCTCAAAATGAAGCGTACAAGACTCAACTTAAACAAAATGACAACAACACATTGCGTATAACAATAAAAGAATTAAAACAGTCAAAACAACAAGAAGAACTATCGTGTTGCTCTCAGCTCTTTAATAGCAACGTTTTACTCCTTTTGAAAGCCAACTTACTTCAGCCTCTAGAATATTACTTCCCTCAAATGACTTTAGTAAGCTTGCTTCACAGGTTAAGAATAAATCTTCAACACAACCCCTTAATTCTTAATCTGTTGAACTCCAATGCAGGATCTCAAATACTCAAATCTCTCTTTTCCCAGGCTCTTTGTAAAAATGTCAGCAAACTGAACATTTGTTGAACAATGAGCTAACTCTATCTCACCTTCCTTTACAGCCTCCCTCAAAGCATGATACTTAACTCTGATATGCTTTGTTCTTCCATGTTGAACAAGGTTTTTAGCTATGGCAATTGCTGATAAATTGTCAACATTAACTAAAGTACCCTTTTCTTGTTTGAATCCCAGCTC